TACTAATTCTTTTGTTATTTAAATTTTTTGGCACATTTTTTTTTTTATTGAAACTTTTGGGTTATGGCTCTAATACCAACTTAGCACAAACTAATTTGAAGAACAACAATCTAATTTAAATAACAAAGGAATTTAAATTAGATCTTTAATATGGTCAAGTTTGAGTATGCGAGGCAATTAGTGAAAGATTAGAGAATACCTCAGGATTAATTCTAAGGATTAATTATATATATTAAGAAAGTCACCTTGGATTCTTAATTCATCTATCCCAATATCATGGTGCTTCGTCAAATTGTAACATCATCTTAGCTTGTATTTAGTTTAGACAAAGATGGCAAGGATTTTCTTTTATTACCTTATTTAGGAATCTGGTATTTGTATAATTAGTTTTTTCTCTCCCATATAGTCATAATAATTGTATACTCTTAATTTAGAGCTGTTATTTTGTAAATACCTTGGTTTTAAAAGATCAAACCCCCAGTCTTTATAAGACATGTTATTTAATATGGTCAACTTTGAGTTTGCCAATTGATTGTTTTTCCTATAATTATGCTTTATCTCTGCTGACTCTGTTTCAGCCAGTATTATTTCAAAATATTCTTTATTTTTCCTTTCCATATTGGGGTGCATATGATCTTTTAGATATATTTCAGCTATTATATTTGGCATTTGAACCACATGATCTTCCGCTATTATTATTAGAGGAATAACTGATGTCTCCACATAAGGAGTTCTTCCTGATGTTGAGTTTGATGGACTTTGAGTCCCTTCTTTTATTATGGATGTATTATCTTGTTGTAAATCCTTGGTTAAGGACAATGAAGAAGTGGTTCTTTTAGTCAGTATCTTATTTAGACTCTGGATTAGTGCCTTTTTTAGATTCTGCACCCTTTTCCGCTTCCTTTTGTCCCTGTAAAAATTCTCGAGTCAAGAAGTCATGCCAATAATTTGATTATCCTTTATATATTCTATGTCAAAATAAAAAATAGAGAGAATCGCTTGCCATCTTGCAAAAGTTTGTTTTGAGGCTAAGTTTTTCACATCCTTGTCTAAAATCTCATTGATAGACTTGCTATCGGTCCTTAACATTTTCTTTTTTTTATTAAGAATGTCACTTTCAAATTTAGTGATACAATGTACAATAGCCAAGACTTCTTTCTTAACTGTACAATAATTCTGTTATGCAGGATTCCATGCCATTGAATGAATTTTACCAACGGTTTTTAAGATTGTTAAGAAATCTTTCTTTAAGAATTCCTCTTAACCCTATTTCTGAAGCATCTATTTCCACTATTTTAAATACACTAGGATGAGGGATGGCCAAACATGGTAGGTCTTTAGATTTTCTTAATGCCTTAGTATGTTTATCTGACCACTCTGGTGGGTTCTTTTTTACCCATTGAAATAAAGTCTTGCAATCCAAGGCTAAATCTTTATAATAATCTAAGATATAATTTAAACTGCCTAAGAACCTTTGAAGCTGTTTGTTATCCCTAATTTCATCAGGAAAATTTTCTGCAAATTGTATTGCCCTTTCTATTGGAGCAATTGTTTATGCCCAAGAAATATTATTTGGGTTTGGAAAGGCTTTAGCATACACTACTAATCCATCTCTTTTAACTGTCTTTAAAAAGATCTTTAAATGCTTCCAATGTTGTTTTATGGATTCTGAGAAGATAAGAACATCATCAATATATACGATAGCAAAATTGGTATAATGATTAAATATATTATTCACAATATTTTGAAATTCAGATGGGGCATTCTTAAGCCCAAAAGGTATCACGTTCCATTCATAATGCTCGAAAGGAACTGTAAAGGCTGTCTTATACCCGTCTTTTTCTATAATCATGATTTGCCAATATCTAGATTTCATATCAAATTTTGAAAAAATAATTGCAAGATGACATCCATTACGTAGATCCCTTCTATTAGGGGATATGGTATCTTACCCATCTAAGGGCCTTATTGATAGGCCTATAATTTATTACTAATCTGGGTACGCTTCTTTCTATTTTTGCAGCCTTCTCAACATACAGAGCTGGGTGGCTCCAAGGATAGTGGGGTGGCCTAATTAGGCCTTTATCCAACAGTTCTTGAATTTCTTTTTTACAGATTTCTAATAGTCTACTATTCATTTGTATCGGCTTGGATTTGGTAGTAATAAGCCTTTCATTGAAATCAGGCTCCTAGGGTAATTTTGCTGCATGTTGTTTCCTCTCTCAGAGAGCATTGGGTATATCTACACAAACTTCTTTTTCTATCTTGTTTTGGAATTATTTTATCTCCTTTTGTATTTTAGGATTATCTAATATTTCACTAATTGCCTTATGCTTTATTTCTTCTTTGAGATGTAACACGATTTTTTTCTTATTCTGTATTTTATCTTTCATTTGGTTCATTTTTTGGAATTTTGATTTTTCTATGAATTCAAATTCAACCTTGTGGTAGTCAATCTCTGACTCTATTCCCGTTTCATCTAATTTTATTATCGGATAAAGCATATTGAGGATTGGGGTACCTAATATAACATGCTTGACTCAGATTTTTTACCAAGATAAAAGGCATAATGAAGCAAGTTCCATTATTACATATAACAACTGATAATTTGTTTTTAATTATCATTCTACTTCCATTTGCAGTATTGAGGACTTGGTTTATTTTGTCAAAGTATTTTGTGGGTACAAGTCCTTCATTTATGCAATTTAAGTCAACACTGAATCCTTAAGGGCTATAGTCTAGAAACTATATTCTTTACTTACAACTATTGTGATCAGGGTATACCAATTTTGGGTTATTACCCTATCAATCAAGTTTATGAATTCTAGATCTTTCATTTTTTTTTGCTAGTGTGTTTGCAGCATTTTCTTCTAAATTTAATTCAGAAGTTTGTCCCATATCTTGGTTAAAAGCTTGAGGTTTGTTTTGAGGGCTTTTTTCAAGAGGTTTAATTAAGTATTCTTCCATTATTTCTTCAAATGATTTCTCACTTTCTTGATATTTTGGCTTTTGTTTGGAAAAGTCATTTGCTAATTCTAGGATATTAACCCTATTTTTTTAGAGCTATTAATTCATTACGAACTTCATTTAGTTCATGCCTAAGTTCTTGAACATTAGGTTCATTCTTTATGTTGTTTTTGTTTTGGACCTTGTCCATAATAGTTTTAATATTATAAGGTTCTTGTTGGGATTGATTCATTGGTTTAGATATGGGGCTTTCTTTAGCCATTTTAATATATTGTTGTAATGCCTCTTTTCTGGCTTGAATATCTTCAATCTTGTCTATAAGTTCTATGATGATGCTTTCTTCATTAGCTTGCTCATTTAGACCCAAACCATTTATATTAAGAATGGCCTTATAATAATTGCATTTGCAATCATCATCACTATTATCTTCTTCTTTAGATAAGCTTTCATCAGAACTCGACAATTAAATTTTAATCTTCAATATTCCCAATAACCATTTCTTCTTCCTTAGAATCTGATAATATTTCATTATCAGTGATGATTTGAAAAATCTGTTGCTTAACTTCTTGGTTTACTTCTAAAGAATTTATTTTCTTTTTGTTTTTGCATCTATTTTTGTAATGCCCTAGTTTCCTACAATTATAACGTATAGTGATTGTTCTTTTATTACATTCTTTGGGAAATTTGGACCTATTCTTTTCAAAAGGTTTATTTTTTGTTTTAAAAGGCTTTCCTTTATATCTTTTTTCATGATATTTATCCTTACTCTTCTTTTTAGAGGTATAACTTGTTCCCAATTTCTCATATCCGAATTGCTCACAAAAATCCCCTAGTTATCTCTTCCCTGTTATTTTGTCTTTTTCAAGCTGTTTTCTGAGCCTAATATCAGTACACAGAGCTAATCCTTCAGCACAAATTTCAGAGGAGAGTTGTCCCAAAGTATATTATTCCCATTGTATTATCCCATCATGCTTATTCGTTAGTCTAGTTTTTACCTTTTCAGAAAATAGATTAGGAAGTCCTGAGACGAACTTCTCCTTCCAATAATTTGCCTTTGCATCTTCTCTGGTTAACAATTTTTGTCAAAAACACATCTTTATACCATTTATAATGGAAAAGAGTGGGACATCTAAGGTTTGACAATAAGTCCTTAGATTTTTCTAGTTGTAAGGTATTGCTACCTACAAAATGTAAAGTTATTATATAAAGCAGAGTATTTACAACATCATCTTCATCAACAAATTTCTTTGTTTATCCTTTGGGCTCATATAGATTATCTACTGCTTTTTAGCAGTTAATATTTGGTTCCTAGTTTGTTCATCCAAGACAAAATCCCACCAGCGT